GAGCGGTTCCTGCGCAGACTCCTCTGCATCTCTGTGCACATGCGAAAGCCGTGAGGCCACCTGTAAAGGCTCCTTGAACAGCACACCACCCTTCCACGGTAAGCCACCAAGCTCACGGCCGCCCCGGAGGAAAAACAGACCCGCGCGCACACTGGGCAATGGAGGTCAACAGAATCACCTGCCCTTCCGGTCTTCAGAGGCATACCTGGGTGACTGCCACAGCCGTAAAGCAGCGCGGGCAGTCATCTGTCCCCAGCCACACCTTCCCCTTACTTTAAAGGACACACGGATCCCAATACCAACCTGCTGCCTCTCTGACACCGTTGGCTCAGTCACAACCTACGTGGGGGGGGGGGCAGCTAAGGGAACGCCGGCCAAGTGTCTTCTGTGACCCTCTGGCCGAGGGGCTCCCGGGAATGCAGGGTTTTGTCTGTGACAGTGGTCAAGGCCTGGGCACACTAGGGCAGCCTGGTCCCTCCATGTAGGACATATATAACTAAGGGCATGAGTTATCAAACCTGAGTAGAGCTGGATGGCAAAGGGAAAGATAACACTCTATAACAGACTGGATGTTTGGAGTCCCCCCAAAATACTCATCAGGTGAGGCCGGAATCCCCAGTGGGGAAGTATTTGGAGGTAAGGCATCGGGGAGCACGGTCCAGACACCAACACCCATTTGTGGGTTTGCCTGCAAATCCAACACCAGGTGGGTGTCCTGCTCTTAAACCCACTTTTGACACACGTACCCGGAGACATTATCGGATCCCACGGGGGAAGGCTCAGTCTACAACACTGCTCCGGCCACCATCCCGTGGCCCCAGCAAGGCGAGGCCGTCACCTGCGCCTTTGATGGAGCCGCTACAGACTGGAGCTTCCCAAGAACCCTCCTTGGGCTCCGTTAACTTACTAGGGTAATATACACGAGCAATAATGCATACATATTTCACAACATGTACATGTCGTATATTAATATAACTATTAGCCAGCTTTAGACGAGGTCATGATGCAGCCCCACCCATGATGGGATTACTGACCTTGTAGAAGAATAGGCACCAGAGCCCCCACCCCGACCCACATGAGGACACAGAGACAAACAGCCACCAATAAACCAAGAAGCAGGCTGTCCTGCTTTGACTGGGAACCAAATCTGTCTGCATCCGCATCCTGACTTTGAGCCTCCAGGGCTGTGAGGGACACTTGCCTGCTGTCTAAGCTCCCCCCAGTCTGTGTCAGTTCGTTACAGCAGCCAGAGCAGACTAACCTAGCCTTAGAAAGGGTCTCTCATCTACAACGACCACAGTGAACTTGTAAGTCTGTGACATAGTCAGTCCACTACCCTTAGGGCTCCCTTAGGAGGTCCTGGGTCCTTAAGTTTTTATCATCGTCTGTTGTCTAGAGTGTGATCTCACTGAATAAAAAAATACACATGTAACTTAATAGACGTGATGCACAGATGCGTACCCATCCATAAAGAATATAAAGTACAGGTACGGCATACAGTAAAGTATGAAAGTATATGTTTGCACACACATATGAAAAGATACGTGTACTCTGATGTATGCCCTCCGCTCCTCCCTCATTATGTCTGGAGCCACTCCCAGCTCAACGGAAGGAATGTTGACCCATTCCAGGAACCCTGCAGGAGGAGACGGCAAACTGAGCTCTCCAAAGTCTCTGAGAGCCTGACTCGTCTCGCTGGTAGTGACTCTGGTGTCCCTGAAGACGTCCCTCCACTCATCCCCTTCAGACCCAGGCCTAGCACGCTGCTGCTGCAGGGCTCCACACATGCAACCTGCAGAAAGGGCGCCATACGGCAGCCTGATGCTCCCCAGGACCAGGTCGGAGCCAGCGAAGGACACAGGAGCTGCTGAGGGTGAACCGCAGGGCTTGACCGCCTTCCAGACAGGACGTGGCCTGTAAGCACCTTTCCAAAGAAAACACAGAAAGCAAACCCAGAGACAGAAGGAGCCAGACAGCCAGATGAGAAAGCGGAGATAAGCTAAGACCAATGTATCGTTTTTGCTTTAGCGTGTATGTTCAGTGTGTGGGAAGGGATCCTGAGTTTCCACCGGCACCATCGCTGGTGGAGGTGTTTTTGACAGCGGCGTACTCCAGTTTATTGGATCGTCTGCTGCATTTTAAACATGTCAGGAAAGTAAGCCATCATCCCATGGGGAAAACACAATTTTGCAAACATAAATTGTAACTTGTGCAAGGAAATCCATCCTCTGTCTCCCCGGAAGCTTTGACGGTTTCTATCTTTGACTGCCTGACTGCCAGGAGAATTAAAAAGTGTCAAAGTGCATTTAGTTACATGCCTGGAAACCGCTTCAACTGTGAACTATCTTTGTTTTTTCCCCAATCTAGCTTGTCACAAATAAACATGACAGCTCTCAGGGTTTGCTTCAGTTTCTCTTTTCTTTTGTTTTCTTTTGTTTTTGTAAATGAAGAGAGAGCTCCCATCACACACAAAAGATATGTAAGATTCAAAAGAAAGAACGGTTTGCATCACGTTTTTACGCGTGCGGAGTAAAAACAAGTGCATCACTAGTGCATTCCCTCTGCAACTGCAATGATTTGTTGCCAGGTCAGAGGACGTGAAGGGGAAATCCCCGGCTGGCAGCTTGGTTCCTGGAAGTGAACAAAGTGGACTGCGTGCTGCCAGCCGGTCCCGTAGCTACAGGGGCTGGAAAAGGGCAAGGGAGACCGCCCAGATGTCTGTCTCGGGTTGTCTGACAACTTCATCACATGCGACTACGTGGGGACTTACTTTCACAGCAAATCTGTACCATGTTTCCAAATCCAGGCAACTCTCCTAAGGAGCCAGTCATCCCCGACATCACAGTTCAGCCACAGCTTCTAGGTTACCACCCCAGCTCTGAATTCTCAGTCCCGGCGTGGAACGTTTTTCTTCCCTTTTATCTAAGGGATCAGCAGAAATGTTATGGTGTTACACTCAGGGAGAAAAACAACATTTCCAAGTTGTGTCCCTCTGCAAAACATATATATAGGTATACAGGGAACCTGTGGGTCACTCAGTCAAGTGTCCAGCTCTTCACTTCGACTCAGGTCATGATCTCACGGTTCATGAGGTCAAGCCCTGCAGGGGGCTCTGTGCTGACAGAGTGGAGCCTGCTTGGGATTCTCTTTCCCTCTCTCTCTGCGCCTCCCCCGCTCAAAATAAGTAAAGTTTGAAGTACACATATGTGTGTGTATACATATAATTATATATTTGTTATGTACAATATATGCGTATTATAGATTATAGTTACACATAAAGTAATATATACATAATACAATGTGTTAAATATAATATACAGGTGTGTATTTTATATATATATAATAAATGTACACACAGGTTGGATTCCTAACTCCTAGGAGGCTCAGAAGATCATCTTATTTGAAAGTAGAGTCTTTAGATAATCAAATTAAAATGTGGTCATTAGGGTCGGTAATCCCTCATAGCCCGGGTCATCATAAAAAGGAGACATTTGGACACAGAAACAGACCCATAGAGAGATGATCTGAAGAGATAAGAGAGCCCTGTACAAGCTAAGGACAAGGCTGTCCTCGCCATCTCCGGAGGCCTTAACCAACCCCGCTGGCTGCCTGTTCTCCAAACCCCGTATTCCAGAGCTACAAGGCAACACGTGTGTCGTTCAGGCCACCCAGCCTGTCTTCCTTGGCGACAGCAGAGCCTAGCACAGGCCCGTAAGTGGCTGATGAACTGCCTTCTCTGAGGTCCACTGTCCTCCAAAAGAAACTGTAGCCTGCGACAGCAACAGCCTAAAAAGACCTGAAGCAATTGAATATATCCTAAGCGCCAGGACTGAGGGATTGCTTGGCCCGCGGGTCTCATAAACACGCACCTTTCAGGCGAAGTTAAGCGAGACACAGAAGCTCCTTGCCTCTCTTCTTGCTACACTTACACAATCCACACAAGCCCGGGCACACTGGATGCACTTCGCCAGAAATGCACCCTGAAGGTCTTAAGAGTCTCTGAAACTTTCTAACTTCCGCATCCTCAAAGAGGGCCCATCCTTATGCTTAAATATGCATATGCAACGCCAACCAACGCCAAACAGAAACGGTCACATAAAGGTGTTTCTGAGAGGGGGGAACTAGAAAAAAAAAAAAAAAAACACTTTTCCGGTTGCATTCACAAGGACTGCAAAAGGTCAAACAAACAAACAAAACCTCAGAGCAACAAAAGCAGAGGAGACATGGGCAGGCGGAGGCGGCAAGACACGTCCCTAATTTTGCTTCGCCCCCTTCCTATCTGAAAGTTTCCGCTTGACTTTGGGAGGACGCACCAGCCAGGGATTCTCCGACACTGACACAGCCACTGAGGCCACAGACCCTGCAAGACCCGCTCGCCAGGGCGCATGCGCGCGGCGGGGCCCGCGGGGGCGGCGGGCGCGCGAAACTGAAAGGGGAAACCTGCGGGGATCCGGGACGGCAGTTCCCGGCTCGGACGGCTGCATAACCAGGCCACCTGGCTCCACATTTGCCGGGCGCCTCGCGGTAATGCCCACCTGAGTACCCCCAGGGCCCTGCCCGAAACAGCCCCAGGAAACGTCCCTAGACGCTCTGCCTCCTGCCTCCATTCCTTCCCAAAGTCGTCCTGCAGCTGCCCCCACAGCGGCAGCTCGTCGCTGCACTGCCTCGCTTGCGGGGGGGCGTGCGGACAAACTCGTGCCCGCCGGTGCCGCATCCCGGCCCCGCGGCCGAGACTAAGGGTGACCGTCTTAAGCTCGCGCCCAGCGGCGAAACCGGAGCGCGCGTGCGCGGCTCGGAGCGCGCTTTCGACGACCCTCCAGGGACTGCCGGAGGCGCGCGTGCGCAGTGTGGCTCGGAGCGCGCGTGCACGGAAGCGGCTCAGGGCCCGGAGGCGAGGAGGCCCGGGACACGCGCGTGCGCAGAGCGGCTCCGGACCCGCGCGGAGGCCCGAGGCGCGCGTGCGCGGGGCGGCGGGGGCGCGCGCCTCTCTCCGCCCCCACCTGGCCGTGACGCCGGCACCATGGCGGCTTCCGTACCCCCGCCGCGGCCCGCCACCCACCTGCTCTTTGACATGGACGGCCTCCTTCTCGGTGGGTAGCCTGCGGCCGCCACCCGCGACGGCTGTCCGGGGAGGGCGCGGGCGGCGGGGGTAGGGGTTGCGCACGCCCTCAGCGCCGAGGGGGGCGGCGGCGGCGCGGGGCCGGGGCCGGGACCCTTACGCGGGCAGCGGCGGCGGGGGCGCCCGGGCCGTGTCAGACCGGCAGCGCGCGGGGCTGCAGCGTAGACGCCGCCCGGGCACTACTTCCGGTGGCCGCGCCGCGCGTGGGGACGGAGTGCGTGTGCGGGGGGAGGGGAGCAGCGCGCTTCGGGGCGGTGCGAGGGGTCCCGCTGTGCGTGCCGGGAGCGCCGCCCGGCCTCAGTTTCCCCAGGTGCACAGCAGCCTGGCGGGTCCCCCGGCGCCGAGGTGCACGCACCTTGCTTGTAGCATCCCACAGCGCAGGGGTCCTCAAGCCGCAAAGTCTGGAGGCGTTTGGGGGCACCTAGCTGTGGGGGGGGGTGGTTGCCGGAGTCCGGGGGCTCGAGGCCAGGCGGGGTTTGGGGCTCCCGCGGTGCACGGAGCGCCCCACGCCGCCGCACGTTACCCAGCCTCCAGTGCCCGGACTGCGGTGGCGGACGAGCCCTCTTAAGTGGCCGGGCCGCCCGGACTGACCCGCAGGTCAGGCATCACTTGGGGAGGGGCTTGGCAGTGCGAGAACTCGGGGCCGCACCCCACCGTGCGATCGAGCCCAAGCGCCTGCAAGTTTGATACGGCACCCGGGGCTGGGGGTACAGTCGTCCCTCCGCAGCGTGCCCTCTGGGGTCCGACTGGTAAGCCCATGGTCACGGGCAGGGAAGGTCGCCAGCCCAGAAAAGTTCACGGAGAATCCAGAGAAGGAATGGCTCCGTGCGTAAATCCAGACAGAAGTGCCTCGCATCATGTTGCATAACCGTATGAAGTTAGTGGGTTCTGACCTCTTTGCTTCCTGGAGCCCTCGCAGAAGTGTAAAAATGCCTGCGTAGGCTGCTGACCCGCCGGAGGTGTGCCTAACATTATGGGTGCCTGTTCTAGAATCCCGCAGAGGAGGACATATGTGCATCACTAATAAAAACAAACACTACTGCCCAGAGAGGTTAAGTCACTTGCCCAAGGTCACACAGCTAATAAGGAACCAAGCTGAAGAATGATTCCAGATCAATCTGATTCTAAACATAAATGACATGTTCATCTTAAACGGTCAGGGTGACCTCCACTCCCCCCCTTCACCCCCCCCATCCTATTTTAGGTGATTCAGTAGTAGTAAGACTAATTTTTTAAAGGCACACAAAAAGTCACTCTGAACCCAGATTAATTCCCATAAATATATAACATAAATAAATAAATCTCCATAGAGGTCACCGATTGCACAGAACAGTGTATGCGGCTACTAAATCCAAAATGATTCCATTTCAGACATCTTCAGGGATTCGTAAGTGTCGTGGCCAAGAAGGTAAATCGTTAAACAAATTCCTCATCTTCTAATGAAAGGCCTGCGGAACCTGTTCTGGGAGCCTCATGAATATTAATACAAACGGAGATGTCTGTTTAAAATTAAAGTTATTAAGCTTCTAAATGAGCTCAAGGCTCACTTCCCACCCGATTCCAGGATCCGCTGTTCCCCGAAGCCAGGAATGTGGCTTCTGGCCCAGGACCCCCAGGTGCAAGTTATTAGCGTGGGGGGGGGGGGGGTCTCCACTTGCTAGTTAAGCCCAGCTTAATGGTTTACCCTGTGGTGCTATCCCCCAAGCCTTTGATCTGGTCCAAGAAGCAGTTGGGAAGATAAGCCCTTGCCCTTTCCCCCGTTCCCGGCTGCCCTTTATCCTCTCTGATTTCCCTCTTGTTTGTTTGAGGTAGCTTGGCTTTGCAGAAGTTTGTCAGAACTTCACTCCTTCCGTTCTTTCACAAAAAGTCCCGTGGAAAACACTGCTTTCTGTCTGGTGCGGGCTAGTCAGTTGCACCGGCGCGGGTCTCCAGCGCCTGCCTCGTTCAGTCTGTCTGCCGCTCGCCCCACGCCGCCCGGTCCATGTGTAACGTGTCCTGCTGGTCGGCATGGTGGGCGCATTTCCCCGGAAGCTCTTCTGTAGCCCCTGCCCCGTGTGCCCAGGGAAGTGTAGTTGAAACAGTCACCTCCACGAAAGAATGCCGGCTCCCACGGGACGCTTGTTTAATCGGGAGAATGAGGAAGCAAAGGGGAGTTTTTCTGGAGAGGTCGACCGCGCCACGGTCCCGTCCGGTATGTTGCAAATGTATCACGCTCTTGTCCTTTCCCGTTGAAACGGCGCTTTTGGATTGTGTTTTCGTAGACACAGGTAACAATCAGCTATGATCTAGGTAATAATTTTGGCCCTCACATGCCATTTAGAGAAAGCGGAGAGGGGACGGAGATTGTTTATCAAGCAGGACACGATTTTGAAGGAAGATGACAGGTATTCAGCAGTCTCTCGGCTTCTGGATGGGAAAGATTATCGAGTTTGTAAATAAATTAGGAGCAAAGGGGTGGGCTCGCCACCTTAAACGACAGGAAGCGTGTTGTCCGGAGCAGAGCTGTCTTCTAGAAACAGGACTGTGGCAAAGGTCCCGTGGCATGACTGAAACACACGCGGTCTGACCCCCGTGTGGCCCGTCGGAGACTCTTGTGAGTACAGACGGGAGCTGACGTTCTGCCCGTGGGCTCTTCTCACTGGTGTCCGGCGTGCATACTGCCGGGGTCCTGACGCTCCATCAGGAAGGGCGGCGGAGTGAAGGATGGCCGAGGTGCCCCCGGACGCACTCCCCGTGGGCCGTGAGAGTGCACACATCCCCGTTGGCGTGAGATCGTCATCGCATGCGCGCTCTGCATTTTGGGCCCCACCCACCTTGCTGTGTGCCCTGGGGTCTCCTGCTGGCTGTGGGGCAGCCGAGGTCTGGCACGGTCACATGCTTCCTGCCCTGCTCTCTGGGCTAAGAGCAGCGCTCATGCCAGCGTTTCCCCTTGCTGGGGAAACGGGCTCCTTCCGCCTTTGCAAACGGGGCTCTTAGCTCCTCTTAGCGCGTGTCCTGAGCCTCGGGCAGCTACATCACCCCCTTGCTTTGTGCTCCGGCTCCCTCACACCCAAAATTCCATGCACCATAGCTGAGTGTCTATGCAGAGGGGCCCTGTCTGGGAAGAGAGGGCATGTCCTCAGACCGCTGCCTGCCCGGCGCTTTCACTGGCATTGCTTGTGGCGCTGGGCGGCAGGCGGCCTGGGGTTCTTCTAAGTCCAGGAGCGAGGTTGTGGCACGTGCCCCTTTGTGACCAGCGATGGTCTACTTGAAAATCTGACGTGTCACGGGGCTGGTCTGGGAGAGGTGCGGGAGCAAACCAAACTTTGTGCAGCCGGCAGTTCACCGTCCTGTCTGCAGGAAATCACAACACGAGCAGAGTCGTGGCTTGCACGTCTGAGCCTACCTGCGACCTTGAGGGCAAGAGCCAAAGTAAGCATCAGGCTTCCCTCCCTCTCATGTCCTGCAGCCCCGCTGTCCCCTGCTTTGTGTAAGGGAAGTGGGGTGTCCTTGGTGAGAACTTTGCACATCTCTGTGCCCTGGACCAGCGCAACCCCAGTGCCTGTCACATGGGAATGTTCTGTGTCTGCCCTGTGGACGGGGAGATGTGCGGTACCCAGGTGCTGGGGGCGGGAGCCGCCTAGGCTCCAGGTGTGTCAAGCGCAGCTAGCTCAGCAAGGGGCTGGATCGCACTCTCCGTGGAGGAGCGATGCGCCATGGTGCCGGGGTGACAGTCTGCTGCTGTGTGGGGTTCAAAGCAAGTCTCTTCTCTGGGTCTCCGTGTCCAGATGGGACATAAAACAGTGTGAGTGAACTCTGTGCGTCACCTGCTGATAAGCATGGCGCGGGCACGGGAGACAGTAAGTACTTTGAACTGAAGGCACCTGGAGGGTGTGTGGCATGTCCCGAAAGCAGCAGAAGAAAACAACGGACATTTCGGGCCAGGAGAGGAAATACAGGAGCTATGAACGTGGTTTCTGAAGCAGAGGCAGAGCATTTTTATCCAGCAGAGAGTTTGTGTTTAGAGAGAAAAAGAAAAAGACTTGTCAGCGATGATTGTGTTAGAACACAGAGGGGTGGATGGTCCAGCTGAAAATGCTCTAGTGTTTTCCACGCTGGGTTCCTCGTGGTAGTTTTGCGTCCCTTTGTCCCGCTTTAAATGCGATAACTTCACGTCCTGCTCCAGCCACGTAACCTTTGTGTCCCCTAGGGCAGTGACTCTGGGAAGGCCAGTGATGTCCTGGAATGTTCTGCGTTTGGCATTTGCTGGTTGTCTCCACCTCGTGCCCCCTTGCGTGTCCCTCTGTCCCTCCGTTTCCTATGACCTAGAAACTACGCCTGGCACTGGACGCAGCCACTTCTGGCCGGCACGTGCTGAGCTCCCCATCGCCTTCTTGGGGAGCCATTGCGCGCGGTCAGTCTGTCGCCCGCATCCCAGCCCGTGGGACGTGTCCTCATGACACGAGTGGAGCCCACGGGCCGTCTGCTGTGCCACGGGCTGTCTTGGTGGGAAGCCTGGAGCCCGAGAGGCCAGCGGTGGGTGGTGGCCACAGGCCCTGCGTGTCTTGAAGGTGGGAACCAGAAGCCAGAAAGGTGGGCGGGTGGCTGCAGGGGACACCGCGGCCCCGCCGGTTCACACTCGGAAAAGAGGGTGTCTGTGGTGCGTTATTTCCTCCCCGTCTGGGCCACCTGCCGTGATCTCTGAGTGGGCCCCGTGGACACCCAGGAGCGGTGGGAAGGCAGGTGCGGTTGCTGCACTGGGTCCATTTTGCACAGGCTAACCCCGCGTTTCCTAGAGGCGCGTCTGCGAATGTGCGCGTGCGTTGCACACACTTGACGTCCCTTCTCCAGCCCACAGGGCACACTTGCCGGCTGCTTAACACTCAGTAGCTTCTCTGTCCCTGAGTACCATACCCAAGGGAGGGATCCGGGGCCGAGGAAACGTAGCTGGTTCCTCTGGGTCCAGGGGCATGAGATAAGCAGGGACCCCTCCTAGGCAAGGACATGGGGACAGTCCCCTGGCCTAATGCAGGATGACATCATACCAAGAGAGTAACGGTACGACAGATCGTAATACTCTAAAGTAGAAAAGAGATGTGTGTGCTAACCCTCCGAAGGCGCAGGAGGTGGGGGAAGAGAGGTATGTTGCCGAACACCAGTCAGGGAATACAGAAAGCATAGCGGAAGCCCCCGTTTCCTGGTCCCCGGCAGGTTTGGACAGCGGTCAGCAGTGGAAGCCACGACGCTTGGACTCGGTGCCCGGACAGAGCCGCGTGCCACACTGCAGGGGGAAACTGGCTTCTCCGGGGTGGCTCTGGGGCCACTGCAGGCGGGTGGATCGCACGCAGCTTTGCCCCTGGGGCGGGGGACCACCTTGCTGTCATGGGCCTTCTGAGGTGGGGCCACAACAGGCCACTGAGTGTCGACCAGTGGGGCAGTCACACTGGGTCATCTGCCAGCACTCTCTCGTCTGGAGGCTTGGAGAAGCGTGCAGGGGTGCCATGTGAGTGCACCGGACAAGTCCAGAAGGAAGGGCACTCTGCAAGGGGGCCGGGCCAGACTCAGATCAGGTCAAATGTCCTGGGGAAGCTGCAGGGGCGGGCGTCCCCAGCTTAGCGAGGCCGACGGGGCACAAGCTGTAAGCCCGTTTCCTCTCTCTCGGGGATCCCTTGTGAGCTCCAGGCTGCAGCGAGTGCTCTCGCTTAGAGGACTGTCCGACCCTGCGGACCACCATCCGCCCTCGCTTCTGTTCATCCTGGCAACCCCTCGGTCTGCCCTGCCCCACACGAGTGTTACTCGGAGCCCAGCATCCCAGCGACCCTCGATCCGCCCTGCCCCACACGCACACAGTGTTGCTCTGAATCCCAGCGACCCATCCCTTCTCCGGCGTTGCAGCCGTGAGCCCCGCATGCCACGCACACAGACGTACCTGCGAGCCTCCTCTTCCTCACCGCGCCCCAGCCCCAAAGCACGAAGTACTTCTCCCAAGTGCTTCAGAGCCTTTCTTCACCCTCCCGACCGCCGCTGCCTCTCTTCAGGCTCTCGTGCTTCCTCGCACAGGCCGGTGGCTGTCGTGGGCCCCTGCCGTGTGCTTAGCGCTGTCGCGGCGCTGGGCGTCCGTTAGGCCTGCGTGCTGGCACCCGCACCTCCCGCTCTCATGCCCCGTCTGCAGGGCACGGAGCGCAGGGCGCGGCACCGATTCACCACACGCGGGTCACCTTCCCCAGGGCGGCTCCATCAGCCCCACAAATACCCGCGATGCTCCCGGAGCAGTGCTCCTCCCGTGGGTGACACTGCAGGGTCCTGGGGCAGACGCGGCGGTGAAGAAGGCGTTGGCGGGGCACACACCTCACCAGCACTTTTACCCTGCGGCGTCTGCTCACGTCTTTGAGGAATTTGCCACAGACCAGCCCCTCATTCCCTTGAGAGACAAAGAGCGCTCATGCGGGTGAAAATGGCGGTCAGCTTTGGCACCGCTGCGTTCAGTGTGCCGTGCGCGGCGGGCCTGTGCTCAGCTGCGTGCTCGGAACGCAAACACACGCCTCATCGCGGGGGCTGCCGGTCCCAGCCCGGCGAGCACGTCCCTTCTGAAGGCTGCGGCCGCATCTCTGTGCCATCCAGCCCAGCCAGTTGTGCGGACCTCGCCTCCGCGACGGCAGCCTGATCAAGGTGTTTATGGTCGCCCACTGGGTGGCTTGGACAATGCAGGAGCCTGCCCTCGCAGGCAGGGAGTGGGGCCGGACGCTGGCGGCCCGCAGGTCGGTCCATGCCCCTGCCTGGAGAGGGGTGGCGCTTTCCGCCGTTGAGGAGTTGTTTGCGGATCCACCTTTAAGCTCAAGAGGGATTTCAGAAAAGCATGATCGGGTGGAATCACAGAGCTTGAGGAGAGCGAGATGGTCCGGGTGCTCCTTCAGTTCATGGGCCCCACGAGCTTTGCTAAGCTGCCCACCAAATGCCAGGCAGAGGCCGGTGCAGCGATGGACACACCTGTCCATCACCGCCCCGTGCTTACGGGACGTGGTCTGGGATGCGGTGGGGGGTCTGCTGCAGGAAGGAGCCTTCCTCCTCCTACTGCGTGTCATTTACCTGCTCAGCTGGCCCACTTTCCCAGGGAGCCGGCACCAGGACCTGGGCCGCCCGTGCACGGCGCCTCGCCCAGAAGATTCGTCCTGTGCTCCCTGGCCTGGCCTGGCTGCAGGAGGAAGTGAGGTGGGGGGAGGCAGCGAGGTGGGGGGAGGCAGCGAGGTGGGGGGGGAGGCTGAGCGTGTCCCAGGCCAGCAGGACACTGTACGCACATGGCAGAGGGCAGGGGTTTGGGAGCAGGGCCTCTGTGGGAGCAGAGAAGCGGTTCCTGGGCCAGCGACGGGGACAGAGGTAGGGAGGTGCCCCCAGGATGCACTGCACTGAGCCCCGAGCCAAACTCGGGGATTCAGATTTCAGCTCAGCCCTCCCCCGGCCTCGTCCCCCAGCCTCCGAGAACAGAGGGCGCTGTGGGAAGGAGTCCCTGGTGATGCGGAGGATGAGGGCGAGGGCTCTGCTCAGCTGTCCCGGAGAATGATGCCGGGACCGCGTGTGTGTCTCAGACCCCGGGGACACGCCACCACAGACCGGGGCTTGGTCTGTCCCCCAGCTCTGGAGGCCAGGCGTCCAAAGCCCAGCTGTGGCCGGCGCCGTGCCCCCTCCAAGGTGGTAGGCAGGCTGCCTCCCACCCACCCCAGCTTCTGGTGGCTCCTGGCTGTCCTGGCTTTGTGGCCACACCCCTCCCATCTCGGCTTCGGTCTATGTGGCCTCTCATTTCCTTCCTGAAAGGACACCTGTCCTTGGGTTTAGGACCCACCACATAGCACAGGATGACATCACCTTGAGAGTTTTGACTTAATCACACGTGCAGAGACCCTTTCTGCAAACAAGGCCCCATTGACAGGGTCCGGGCGGGCGGACATGGATGCATCTTGCTGAGAGCCTCCATGCAGCCCCTACAAGGACACAAAGGGCTGGTGCAGGAGGAAGAGACGAGGCCCGATGCAGGGGCTGTTTAGTTCACGACAGAGTTGGTGGGGACTGAGGGAGGCGGACGTGGCCAGGGTCCCCCCTGCCTGGGCTCAACAGCACTGACTTGTCCCGAAGCACAGAGGACACAACCTTGCTAGAAAAGTGAGCAGTTCTGTTCCGGGCACGGACACACGTTGACATTTAGTCGCCCGGAAGTCTGGCCACTGTTAGATTGTCGTCCCCCGGGGGGGGGGGTGTGGACTACCCCCAGACACTCACCCTGCCAAGAAGACCACACAAATGGCCGTCCGTCTAGGACCATCTTTGAAGGCGGCGGTGCCTGGAAGACCTTGTGCATTTACATTGTGACGTCTGCCTGTCCCCGTGTGCAGCACACACTCACGGAGCCGGATGGTAGGTGTAGGAAGGAAGGATCTGGAAACTCAAGCCAGATGGACTCACACCCGTCGTCTTGTGCTGTGCCTTGATTTGCTTCCTTCAGATGTGCGTGGAAATAGAGAAGAAAGAAACTGATAAGGGAGCAAGATGACAGCGTGCTCCCTGCCACGGGGGAGGAGGAGGTGCCGGCCTTCATCATTTCCGGGCCTCCCTCGGGCCCTCTGATCCTCTCTGAGCCCTGCACCGAAGCCTGCCATTTTGGGTCCAGCCTGTGTGGACGTGTGAGCACGCACAGTGCCGTCATTCCCTTCGAAAGGGTCTGAGTCCTCGAACAAGGAAGGGCATCGCAGCCTGAAGGAGTTTCAGGCTGCTTCCGGGTGAAGTAAGGAAGTAGCCCTTCGCGGACAGGAGGCTTGACGGGCGGTTTTTGCTTCCAGTCTGTATCTTCCTGGGGGTACTTGGGGCAGGCGGCTTGCTGACAGTGCTCTGAAGGCACAGAAGAGAGGTGGAGGCCATGGGCAAACCCGCGAGTGAAACCCCGGCTCCTCGATGGTGTGCACCGCGGTTTGCAGCTAGGTCCCTTCTGTGCACTGTTGCAGCCTGAGCACCCGGACGGGGCATGTCAGTCGGCCGAGGAATGGTGGGGATAGCTGCTCTGTGCACCTACGTGGCATGGGCGGGCTGGATCGAGGCAGGAGACCCCCCCCCCCTTCTCTCCAGCCTGCGTTTTCAGCACAGCACCGCCAACACGAGAGCAGAAACTGGGATGCCAGGGGGCGGCTGCTCTGAGACGGTCGAGTTTGTTAAGTGTGGCTAATGAAACTCTGGGCTGTAACAATTACCTCCTGGCACCTCTCTGCCGTATACTCACCTTCTCTAATTATGTCCAAAGTAGTGGTTACCACAACTGCCAAAGGCCAAGGACTCTGTCCTATCTCCCCAAATAAGAACCAGGCTCACCTTGTCACTTCACCTGCAGGGAATAGAGTCCGGCTGCATTTAAACGCAATTATGTGTAATAGACACTTACCAGTTACAGAAAACAGACCTTTGCAGCTCGAGCTGGGAACGCATAATCCAACATACTAATTCTTGATTATTCACGGAATAACCACCTTGGGCCTCACTCTTTCATCGGATGGCTGTCTGGAGTCTGTCCATGGCGTCGCTCGTTGGCATCGACGCCTGCCTGTAAATGCAGGTTCTGAGAGAGCTTGGGTGTGTGGTACTTGGGTCACGGGAACCTGTTTCCCCGGGTGGGAGGCTTATCGGTGGGAACTGGGTCCCTACGTTCACATTGAGAAAACCCTTCTCCAACACACGGAGCTGTCTCATTTCCAAATGCCCCTGCTCACCTTGTACTGGGTACGGGACACTCCATTCTGGAATCAACTGTCATTCTTTCACTGCCAGGAGCTAATTTCTGTGTGGGGGACGGGGCTCTGCCTCTGGTTCTGTTGGACTCCCACCCTTTCTCAGTCTCTGCCCTCCCCCCGCCGTATGGCCAACTTCATATGTTTTGATTTGAGTACTGCCCCCCCTTAGTTTTAAAAGTGTATCCATTAATGTTAGCTGTTCAAAACGCACCTGTTCCTTAAGCATTTAATTTCTCCCTGCTCTGTGTAGAAATGCAGCAAACATACCCCATCACCGCTGAGAGGCCATCACAACGTCTGAATCTGTTTACAATTTCTTCCCTCAACTGAAGCACCTTTATGGTCATTAAACCACATTTATAAAGCCACTGAGTTTTATTTCCTTGTTCAGTACTTCTCTTGTCCGAATTAGCAAATCGGGCCTTTCTGAATAGCCAGTGATCACTTTCCCCTAATAAATGAAGTTGGTAAAAATGAGGAATGTAAAGTTTGCTTGATGTGCTCCAGTAGAAGTCAGTTAATGCCATCTCAAGGTGTGAGTGAGTGGAGATTAGTAATTTGAACGTGCATGTAAAGGTTTATTTACACCGCTGTGGCCCCAGTGGGCCAAATTAAGTTAAGGACTACAAGTAATTCAGTATTACGTGGCACACGAGAATTTATTGTGTGGTCTTCCTTCTCTTAAACATCACTGAACATCTTGGGCATCGAATGAGCTACCTGTCCCTTAGGGAAAAACTGTCCTCTACCAGATATTTTTCCTACCCAGCTGATTAAATTTTGTTGTTGTTGTTTTTTAACACCTGTAAATGTCTTTCCCCTTAAATCCAATACTCTTTGAACTTGACAAGAATTTCCATTCTGATTATACGTCCCAGCTTTCAGTGAGTCCTAGGGAGGGCTATGAAAATGACATCTGATTGAATGCTGGTATCTTTCACCTACTGGGTCTCAGGGTAACACCTTATAAGGCCAGACTGACATGAGTCAGAAGATGAACATGCAGCTGGCGTTCTTCTGTGTCCAGGGACCCTCTGCGTGTTCACAGAGAGGTGGTGTCCTCAGCTGTCACTTTGCCGCCGGAAGTCAGGAACTGAGCTTGTCCACTTTGAAGCAGACGGCTCCCAGGTCCCTGCTCTTGAGGATCGGCGTGCGCTCAGCACACAACGGGGGACCCCACCTCACTGCTCTCTGGTTCTTTGCAGAAATCCTGAGTATGTTTCAGCAACATCTGAGATTTGTAAACCAATTTATATTAAGTGAGCATGTTATTTTAAAAACGATCTTGAGTCTTTTTTGAATACTCTCTTAGTCCCTTCCCTTCTTAGAAAATCAAGGTCTACATGGAGAATCTTAAGTGACTGGTTGCCTTTGCCCTTGATGGAAAGAAATACCAAATAGGTTGAGATCTGTTAGAACGCCATGGACTGAACTGTGACTCCCCAAAATTCACATGTTGCAACTCTTCATTTCCAGGCCCTCAGAATGGGGCTCTGTTTGGAAGTGGGATCTTTAAAGAGGTGATTAATGGAAGTGGGATCTTTAAAGAGGTGATTAAGGTAAAATGAGGTCAGTAGGTTGGGTCCTGCTTCCATAATGTTGGTGTCCTTGCAAGAAGAGCACATTAGGGGGTCAGTTAAGCCTCTGAGTCTTGATTTGGCTCAGGTCCCAATCTCTGGTTTTGTGAGTTCAAGCCCCACATTGGCTCTGTGCTGATAGCACAGACTCTGCTTGAGATTCTCCTCTCTGCCCCTCCCCTGCTCGCCATCTCTCTTTCTCAAAAATTAA